TAATATTGTTTATTATAAACAGAGCATTTACTTAAATATTTGTATCTATAAAAAGAATGTATAAACATAAAAATGTCTTAAAATAAGAATAAAATAAAACAAGGTTTCAATATTTAAATTAAATTAAATATTTCATGCTTTTAAACACTACTGACAAATTCTTTTATGTGGTGTGTCGCTCCAGGACGTTGGCGATCATGTCTTTCCATAATTTCCTGTACTATGTAGCTTTTAGTAAATGTCTTTTTACTATCGTTCCTAATCCCTATTATGTCAACCGTTTACACATACTCATCCTTCTTCTATGTACCGTGTCCTTTCGGGATGTTGAGGATCATAGCTCTCCCCAATTTCCTGTCCGTTGTAGCTATTAGTAAATCTTACTTTCTTCTATGTGCCGAAATAACCAAACAGAAATAATAAAGTATAAAATTTTAAGACAATTTTATAAATTCCACTTAGTACGCAATAAATACAATATACTATTATTACTACTACTAATATTAGGTTGGTGCATAATTATCAGGCGTTTTTCTTAGGCGAGTTATTTGTTGTTTTGTCTCCTTTTTTTTAATAAAAATACTATTTTATTTCCAGGTTATAAAGGCGGTCTTATGATTGCGTCTAACATTAAACAACTTGTTGCCTCTGAGTATTGACTTCAATATTCCCTTAATACACACACACACACACACACACACACACACACACACACACACATATATATATATATATATATATATATATATATATATATATATATATGTATGCATGTATATATATTAAGTGAATATTGGTCCTTTAATTCAATTTAATTCAAATAATTATATTGAAGTTTTCGGCTCTTGTTTTGAAACTTAAGAACTCTTATGTAGCGTTGGAATCATATTTTTAAATAAATAATTATATATATATATATATATATATATATATATATATATATATATATATATATATAAGCAGCTCTAATAATGAATCTGTTGTGGATGCACACCGGAAAGAAATAGTGGTCCACGTCCTATACAATGTCGATTTAAATTTCTGGCGCAAAGTGAACGACCACTATTGTTTTTCACGCAATCGTCAGGCGGTCAGCAGCTGTCGTTCATAAATCGGAATTTTCGTGCCCCCAGACAGGTCTGAGATAGGAAAAAATGTCTCATGTGCGTGCATAACATGCACACTTCAACCAAATTCACCTGTAAGGTAAGGGAAAGCAGCCGCCCGGTAGAGGTCAAATGAAGCCATAAAAACAAAATTAAACCACCAAAAGAAGAAATACTTTGCCGGTCCGTCTAAAATCTGGTTGATACCACATGGAAGAATGGTCCTACAATCATGGAGTCTAATGCTTTCAAGAAAGAATGTGAAGAAAAGAAACAGACAGTAGTGGTCGGCTACTATGCGACAGAAATTTACTTCATTTTATTATATATATATATATATATATATATATATATATATATATATATATATATATGCTCATTTCATTGAAAAAACAACAGGCGGTGCTTTTATTTAGTTTTTTTATACAATTTCTTATGCAATCTAATTTTTCTTTTCGGATGATAAATTACATAAAAACTGCCCGAATGTTCTTTTTATCCGAGCGCTTTCGCCTATACATTTAGCCATTTTCAAGGATTAAATATTTCAACTGTTAAATAAGAAATAGTTTGTTGCATGTATGTTTTATAATTTTTTTTCATTTTTCAAAATACGGTCAGTATAGTGCCTCCATGTTCAACAACAAACTATTTCTTAATTAACAGTTAAAGTATTTAATCCTTGAAAATAACTATATCCGAAAGGGCTCGGATAAAAAGAACAATCGGACAGTTTTAATATAATTTATAATCCAGAAAAAAAAAAAAAAAAAAATTTATCTGTTGTTTTATAACCCTTCATGCAGAACATTTCACGGCCAGTTCAAGAAAGACGTTTGGATCACTAACACAAAAACAGAATGCCTCATATCGAGAATATTTAACATCGAAAAACAAAGAAAAAAATAATTCTTTTTAAAAATATGTGGAAATCTCCACCCTTTGTGTGATGACGCTCGCGAAACAGAAAACACGTTTAGCAAAATTATGAAAAATAAAGCATAATTTAAAAAAAAAATCCACATTACAACCAAAAACGTTTGCGGTTTCTCTCCTTTTTTTAATATACACACTTTTCCCTCGTTGGAAATACTATAACCTCTCCCCTTATATATATATATATATATATATATATATATTTTTTATAAAAAAAAATTTATAACATAAATATGTTAGAAAATCACTACAAAAATAGCTATTTTGTTTCAACACCCTCGGTGTCTTATCAAGTGATGATGTTGAATATAAAATAAATGGTTTTAAAAGTTTCAAATTAATTAACGATCCTTCGCTCGGGGAAAACATTGTTACAAAAGCTAGAATGACCAATCAAAACCCAAGTATTGGAAGATTCAAAAGCTTGACAACGAAAACGTGTTATAAAAGCTATTCAGATCTTTAAAATACTGGTAATATTAAAAAGAATTTATTCTAACCAATAATTATTAAATTATATGATAAAATTTGATATTAAAATTAAAAACTGCCAATTTTAAAATCCAAATTTAATCACTATTAAGTTTTAAAACTATAAAATTACTGAGGAGAAAAGAAAAAATACATATGTTATTCAATTTATTTCTTCGTTGAAATTACGTTAGAACAGACGCTACAATTATCGGTCATCTGACAGTACATGTATATATATTTTAATCCCAAGTGTGTGAATGGGGTCTTAAACTCACGCGCAAAACAACAAAAACACAATCAGATTATAATACATAAGCACCCACACATATTTAGATATATATACACACAAAAAAGCGACGAGACAGGAACATCTCCACAGCCCTTTATGAAAAAAGGAAACGGGGAAACCAACACCTACACACACACACAATTAAAAGAGAATGCACTTTACATACACATAGACACCGATAAATACATGTACACACATCCACAGACATTGACCTAGACAATCAGATACCACAACCAATAAATATTTAAGACTGAAAGTATCATTAAACAAATGCTAGCCACTTATTAAAATATAACTTAATATTGTTGGTTATTGGAATTCATTCCGTATACACCAATTATATATATATATATATATATATATATATATATATATATATATATATATATATATATATATATATATATATATATATATATATATATATATATATACATATATATATATATATATATATATACATATAAATATAGATAACTAGACTCGTTTCGAAAAACCCTCGAATTTTTGATTTGCTAATCAAATCAATCTCGAGCGAAAAAAAGGTTTTAAAAAAAGAAAGAGCTACAAACATGGACTTCTGCCGACAAAAAAATCGCACAGAAATATATATATATATATGTATGTATATATTCCGACACAGTGATAGGATAAGGAATAAATAGAAATGTTTATATATTTAACATGTTTCGCTTTCATTTAAGATTCATCAGAAAATGAAATTTTGTGGAGAAAAAGAAAATTCCATTTTTATTTATTAGTTTTTTTTGTTTAAGCTCGCCTCCCCTGTATCTTTCTCAATGAGGAGATTTCGTTTATGTAATTCATATGTGTATGTTCATCATAATTCTAATTTGTTTATGTTGGATTGCGATGATAATGCATGTCCGTTTGCGTGTCTAGTAGGCATTTATATCTATGTTAATTGCTTGTTCGGGTGTTGACTTGTGGATGTTTTGTTTGAAAGGGAATACATTTACTTTGCACCGGTTGTAGTTGTAGGTAGACATAATATGTGATATATTTTAAAATTTCGTTTATTCTTATTCTCTCTTCACACATTCAGCACGTCACCGTATCTTCACTCGCGTCGATTGCCTTATTCTTTGAATTTAATCTGAACTGTTGAATAATTCTATCAGGATTAAACAAACCTATGTGACTTGCATGAACAAAGGCGACAACAGTTTGGCACGACTAACTTGACTTGCGTTTTCGGATAAAAAAAAAAAAAAACAAATTTCTCCAATTCTCAGTGGAAATAATTCAATCAGAATAAAATGCCTCAAAAAAAGAAATCCGTTTAACGGAAATCCACAGAGAAAAAAAGATGAAAGAGAGTTTTCTTTATTTCGGGACTCGAGCAAAATGAAGATTTGGGATTTGGTTGCATCCTTCAGAACAGATTCAAATACAAAAGCAATTTTACTGAAGAACACTGAGGATAAAATGACAAGACATCGTGCTTCTAAAAGACAGGAATCACATTTGAAGAGAAAGAAATAAACGAGAAAGAAAAGGACCGAAAAATGTTAATGGCTGACCGCTTGTATCTGAGTATGTCTGTCTACTAAGGCATCAAGCCAATCCATGTTGCAGACATCTGCTCACACACATTTGTATTTGTTCAACACACACAGAGCCCACCTGTGATTTATACCCGTAACTATGCTAAATAGTCTTTAGTTACAGTTTCTGGGAGAGAGTGCATTATCTGGTATGATCAATAGCCTGAAAAAAGCCAGTACGTTCAAACCCTCCGTCACGATAACTTGTGACTTCTTGCTAACAAAACTATCGACGGTTTCCAGAAAGCTCCGTCTACCCAATTTGTCTCACATTGTTTCGGTCAACAGTTGGTAGAATTTTCAATGACTTTCGGTCAATGAATATGTAAAGCAAATACGATGAAATAATTAACAGAAAGAAAAAGAAAAAAATCTAAAAGAGGAAGAAAGAAAGAAAGAAAGAGAAATTAATAACGTTTTAATATATATAACATCTACTTTAATTACAATAATATTCAATCTATACAATTCCCAATGTAGAGTGTTATGAAGCAAGGAGATGATGCAACCAAGACGTAAAAAGCGACTGGAAGTGAAAAATAAGGAAAATGCTTTGAAAGGAATCGGAAACCCAATCCTAAACAGTGAACGTGAGAAAAATCTTTAGTCCAGTTCAAAAGACCAGACCTCCGTGACATGTAAAGAAAAACATGATAAGAAAGAAAGAGACAAAGAATGGAAGAAAGAAAAAAAATGATGAAAGAAAAAATAAAAACTTATGGGAAAGAAAGGAAAATAAGATAAAAGAAAAAGAAAAATATATATATATATATATATTTTTTTTTTAAGCATTTCACCTCAAGCAAGGTGGGAAGCCACTAGGACGCAAGGGGTTACAGAAAATTTAGAGCAAGATCAGATAGGATTGATAGAAGAAAGGATGAGGGTAGTGGATATATCAAGGCAACTGGTGATGTCGATTGACATTACATTTGAATAGCTGGAGATTATAACTCACAGGGAAACAGGAATAGGGAAGGGAGTTCCACAGGCGAGAGGTGCGAGACATGAAGCTATTGGAGTAGAAGAGACGGCTACATTTAGGAGTTTCGACAGTGAAAGGGTAAGAGCGGGATGCCAGCCTCGTAGGGCGCTTGAATTCATGAAGTCTGGGAACCAGAGAATGCAGCTCCTTGGATCAATTGCCATGAAAGTATTTGTAGAACAGGGAGAGGGAGGCGAAGGCGCGTCTGTGAGAAAGTGACTGTAGACGAGATGCCAGATCAGGGCCAATAATATTGCATATCCGCCTCTGGAGCCTATCAAGAATCCCGAGGCAAACAGAAGGGGCTCCAGACCATGCAAGGGCGAATTTGTAGATCTGGAGGATCGACTCCGGGGAGAAAAACTTCCTAGCGCGGCTCAATATAGGAAAGAAGGAATAAAGGAAATAAATAAATAAAGAAACAGTCAATGTGAGAAAGCTAGAAAAAATTGTGTGATGAAAAAGAAAATCAAAAACAATATGAAAAAAATCAAAAGAAAAAGCTGAAAAGAAGAAAGAATGAAGGAACAGATAATGTAAAGTAAAAAGAGAAAAGAAAGCGAAAGAAAGAAAGAAAGAAAGAAAGAAAGAAAGAAGGACTGGATTGGTAAGAGTAAAGAGAAAAGGAAGAAAGAAATTTTGGATAAGAGGTAAGCAAACAAATTGTAGAAGTGAAAGAAAGAAAGAAAGAAAGAAAGAAAGAAAGAAAGAAAGAAAGAAAGAAAGACAAACAAAGCAAGAAGTAAACCAATAAAAACGAAATTAATGGGGATAGATTGGGGGAAAGCCATGGCGCATGAAAAAGGGGGGGGGAATGGAAGGAAAAAAACGAAAGGAAGAAGAGAAACCAGAAGGAGAGAAACGAGAAAAAAAAAAAGAAAAGAAAGGAAAAAGAAAGAATGAAAGAAAAAATAAATAAAGGAACAAAAACGAAAGAAAAAAGAAAGACAGCATAGAGAATGAAAGACGGGAAAAAGTTTAAAAAAGAAAGAAGGCGAAAGGATGGAATGGAGAATTACAAAAAAAAGGAAGAAAGAAAGAAAGAAAGAAAGAAAGAAGAACGAATGAAAGAAAGAAAAAAAGAGGAAAGAAAGAAGAAGGAAAAATAGAAGAAACAAACAGAAAGAAAGAAAGAAAGAAAGAAAGAAAGAAAGAAAGAAAGAAAGAAAGAGAGAAAGAAAGAAAGAAAGCATGGTACATGAAAGACAGGAAAATGTAAAAAAAGAAAAAAAGGCAAAATGAGAGCGTGGAGAATAAAAAAAGAATGAATGAAAGAAAGAAAAAAGAAAGAAAAACAAAGAAAGAAAAATGAAAGAAAAAATAAAAGAAAGAATTAAAGAAAGAATGAAAGAAAAAGAAAAAAAAATGAAAGAAAAAGAAGGAAATAAAAAGAAAATAGAAAGCTAGAAAAACCAAGGTAATAAAAAGAAATGAATGAAAGAAAAGTGAAAGAAAAAAAAGAAAGAATGAAATAAAAAGAAAGAAGAAAAGAAAAGAAAGAAGAAAAGGAAGAAAGAAAGAAAGAAAGAAAGAAAGAAAGAAAGAAAGAAAGAATGAATGAATAAAAGACAACATGGGACACGAAATACGGGAAAAATCTAAAAGTTGAGAATAGAAAATAAGAAAAATATCCAAAGAAAGAAAGAAAAAAAAAAGAAAGAAAAAAAAAGAAAGAAAAAAATAAGGAAAGAGAGACAGAAAGAAGGAAAGAAAAAGAATGAAAGAGAGACAAAAAGAAAGAAAGAAAAAGAATGAAAGAAAAAGTAATAAAGAAAGAAAGTGCGCCATAAAAAAGAACATTTAAAAAGCCAAGAATCATAAAATATAAAAGGAGCTCTTAAATGATAAACAAAAAAACAAGATGTAATATTAATCGTAAAAATGAAAGTTAATGACATAAGTTCGTTTATTTAAAAACCACCAATGCATACAGACATTCTCCAGACTCATTTAACAAAATGATTGGCTTGTAAAGCAAATTTGACTTAAAATGTCATAGGGACGACTAATTAATTGCAAACCAAATTGATCGGTCACAGTCGTTAGCCGAGTGTGATAAAAAAGTCAATTAGACAAGACGAAATCTTTTGTAAGCATAACACACACTCGCCGTTTTATTTTATGACGATCAATAAATTAATGAAGTTTAAAGAAAATTCATGTCGTTGCATATAAACAATTTAAAAATATTTAAATAGAGATTCTAATTACAATTCAGCTTCGCTTTAAATTTTGGAAAATGTATGTAGTATTCATTAACACACACACACACACGTTCGCACAAACACAAACACACACACACACATATATATATATATATAATATATATATATATATGCAGCATATCTTCATTCAAACATGTTTCATTAAAAAATATAGATATATTGATTCTACGTCCTGGGTATGACGATAAACTACATCCGGCAGCAAGGCCTCTCACCGGCAGCTTTTGAGGAGCGTGAAACTACCTCTTCATTGCTTGTGTTTCAATGTCCACCCTGAGCAGGGGTGGTTGCACCTGTTACGGTTCCGGCTATGAGCAAATCGTGAACCCCCAAACTGGGGTCAAAACACAGCTAAAGTGTAAAAATACATTACGTACCAGCAATATATTTTCGTTGTTAGCAATACGTTTTTGTAAGGAAAAAAATTAGCAGTAATATATTTTTGGAAAAAAAAAAAAAAAAAAAAAACTATACCAGCAATACAATTTTTAAAAAGAAATTATCAATTCTCCAACGAAAATTAAATTTCGGCATTAAATGATCCGTAAAGCCATTATATTCCGTAAATCGTACTGTTTCTACATTTTTAATCGGTATCACCTCAAGCAAGGCAGTTTAACCACTAGGACGAAAGGGATTACAGGTTGTGGAGGAATTAGGAACAGAAACGTTAGTATTGAGGGGAAAGAGAAAAGAGCAATCAGAAGGACAGGAGATAGCGATTAGCACTGCTATTAAATTTTCGCAATTTAAAACTGACTGAGAATTTACGGTTACATCTAGCCAACTGAACAGTACTTTCATGAGCTCTCGATACCAAATTAGTATTGTGTTTAAATTTTTTTAAATTGTCTAAATACCATAGCGAAGAGCACATTCGGTAAAATTTATTTATAGAAAAGACACAGAGAGGCAACTTTATGGTGGTGGAAATATAACTAACTCCGAGCCTCCAGATCAGGACCAATAATATTGCAGATTATTCTTTAGATTTTATCAAAGAGTTCCAGAAAATATCAGGGACTCCAGGCCATATATGACGGCAATATTGTAAGCAAGGACGAATGGTAGATATATGCAAGATAGATTCCGTAGAGAAAAATTGTCTCGCCCGACACAGGTGATCTAGTGAGGAATTCAATGTATTCTCTTTCCACCACATGCCAGGTGGGAACGTTAGCCTGAGAAGGCGTAATGCGACTCTTTATTGGAGGATAGCCTCAATGACGCTGATGGAAGGCAGAGAAGGGTCTCTGAGGTGATTAATGGAAAGACGTTTATTATTTGAGATGTTAAAATTGACAAGCCAGCTTATGTCCCAGTTAACGACGATCTAGCGGTCGTTTTGTACATCAGCTACCGTACTGACATTGTCGGACTGGTCAGCCTTACTATAGAGGCAGGGGTAAATGGTATTGTCGCCAGCGTAGCTACCAAGTTGAGAGCTGATGTCATCGGGAATATGGTTAATGAAGATTAAACACAGCGTAGGACCAAGGATGGAGCCGCGGGAAACACTCACGTTAGTACGAAAGGATGTAGGCGAGTGGCCGTTCAGGACAACTTTCATTTCACGATTTGATAGGGATGACAGGATCAGTTAAAAGTCCCGGAGATACCGTAACTTTTTAACTTGTGGATAAGACCTGAATGTCACTAAAAATTGTAAGAAAAAACAAAACAAACAAAAACCCCAAGTTTAATACAAGTAACTTAAATAATAATCAAAAGTGTTCGTTTCAATAATCCCAGTATGCAGTTAAGACTGGCGGGGTCAATCAGTACTGGTGGGCCCTTGGATGAAAATAAGATCAACAGAAATTTCATGAATCCAACTTTCGAAATAGTAGTTGGTATATTTAACTGAAGCCCTGCTTGGAATCGCCAAATTCAGACATTTTATTTTTTTACCATTTTTAACCGGTTTTACATTTCTATATTTTTAAATGATTGTGGCAATTATCCACTTTGTTGGAAAAACGTCAAACCAAATTTTTCTCATGATAAGCACTCATTAAAATGTAATATTGGGAATTAACACTGAATTAATGTACAAGCATTTTATGCGGACGTGACGAAATGCTCGCCAGGATATATGAAATGGGATAAGTTCAACAATTATTTCAATATATTTTATTCTTATACGTTATTTATATAGACACAAATATTTAAAGAAGTACTCCGTTTATAATAATATGTATTGAAAAATTTTACCGACTTGAATGACCGAAAAATTTCATAGAAAATATGCGTCTTCCGACAAGAATCGAACCAGTATCATACAGGGAACCGTTATGTTGCCTGAAAGAACCGTAGAAGCTACGAAGGAACCACCTGGTTTGCAAGCAAAAAGAAGCAGTAAACTGATCTTTAAAATGTTAAGTAACCTTTTCACACAATTTATATATATATATATATATATATATATATATATATATATATATATATATATATATATATATTATAATTATTTTTCTTTTGAAAATAAGTTTCATCTCGACTCAAGAATTACCATGTTTCAAAACAGAAACTAAAATTTTAAATTTAATTATAAAATTAAATTTAAAATCCATAGCTCCGTTCCATTTTCAAGGGAATTTTTGGAGTTTTGGCATTTTCAGATTTTGGATTTTAAATTTTATTTTAAAATTTTATTTTAAATTTAAAATTATAGATTCTGTTTCTGTGTAGCGATGGAACCATCTTTTTTTTAAATAGAAAGTAATGATAATATTAAGCTCTACTGTTTTGTATCGAGCAATATTTTTTTAAATAAAAATAATTACTAAGAACACCGGATTGTAAACTATTTACATTATACGGAATATTGTCTTCTTTATCGCCATATTTATTACAACGTTTCGGCCGTTGTACGCTCCGGGCTTCTTCAGGTGGCTGAAATGTCGAACTAACCCCTTTATTTCGCTCACTGGGGTAGACTGTTCTTTTTCCACGAGCCATGTTTAATGGATGTCAGCTGTCACTTATCTCCAGTTAGTTTCCCTCTGAAATTCTCCACTGCCTTAACCGGGTATTGAACTCACACTCTTTGGGTCCTGTCTTTGGATCTAACCAACACCTTTATCCACTGTGCCATGTGTCCTTGAGAAATATAGACAAATACCGGATTGTAAATCTCATGTTATTTATCATTTAATATTATATATATATATATATATATATATATATATATATATATATATATATATATATATATATATATATATATATATATATATATATATATATATATATATATATATATATATATATATATATATATATATATATATATATATATATATATATATATATAGTGACCAGGATATGAGAAACCCGGATATAAGAGAAATTTTCTGGCCCCAAATTAGAGCCTGTGTTAGTTAATGTATATAAAATAGACCAAACCCGGATATAAGAGACTTCTTCTCTGGTCCCAACAACTATATATATATATATATATATAGTAACCCGGATATAAGAGACCAGGATATAAGAGAAACCCGGATATAAGAGAAATTTTCTGGCCCCAAATTAGAGCCTGAGTTAGTTAATGTATATAAAATAGACCAAACCCGGATACAAGAGACTTCTTCTCCGGTCCCAACAACTATATATATATATATATATATATATATATATATATATATATATATAAGTTTGATTAATGAAAACCGACAATGCCTGTTTAAATTTTTATTGTATTTTTCCAATTTACTGAAAATGTGTTGAGTATTTACTCGATGTTGTGGGTAAACTGTCCTCATCTCATATTTTGTTTTTGTTTTTTTCAAGTGCTTTGCACGTTTTGAAATGGTCTCACGTGACATCATGTGTAACGGCCATTGGAGACGAGCCAACACCAAACAGAAGATCTTGCATTTTACCCGCCAAATATTGACTGTTTTTTCTACGTCTGTTATAATTCTGTAGTGATGTTTTTCTTACACTAAATAGAAGAGACAGAGAAAAAAAAAGGTGCAGTTGCATTTGAAAGAATTTTATGGAAGATAAAATCAATCTGATAATTTAAAAATCAGTATACATTGTTCTAATGTCAAAAGAACTGAAAACATCAATATAAGAAAATACTGCAAATCAAGCCAAGGTTTTATTGCTATTTAGTTTGGTACAAAAGTCTAAAAATCATCATTGCTTTCATTATTGATTTATTGAATATTGAAGTACCGATTATGCAACTGCTGATGCTAATTACATTAACAGTCGATTGGACAAGTGCGTTGCACATTGAGTATCAATTTATTCAATGCCTTTCGGATTTGATTTAAATAATACATTCAAATGATGGAAACTAGGTTTGTCACTTTTTCTAGAGGAAATGAAAGTGTAGTATCCGTTGTTGTAACCACGGAAATAAATATTATATTAAAGATAACTGCATATGCAAAATCTCTTTACGCATTGCCTTTCGGGTTTGATTTGGTAAAAATATGGCAAAAGTTAAAAATAAAAAAAAGACACATGCAAAATGAAGGAAGCAAATGAAGGTACTTAAATATATTCACATATGATATATTTTAGAATTTTCGTATATATATTTTTTTAAATCATTAT